TTTGTTAATATAACCTGAGTTATTTGTTTAACTAAACACAGTGCATGCCTAAATACATTTTACCTGCTACTTCCCAGCTGAGGCTTGTCTTCTAACAACTAGTGTATTTTGCAACAAGCTGCTCAACAGATGTCATTCTGGTTGAATAATACTTGTGCGTTGGCTAACATTACTCAAACTTTGATCACTTTAGTTCAGCACATCAGTCTGGCATTGTGCTTTATACCAACATAACACTATAAGTCGAAATGCCTTTCAGACTTAGAATAGCAAAGGAATGTTATTGAAATCAGTGGAGTTACAGATGAATGAATGAAAAAGGAGAATACTGTTTATTTCATAATACTGCGGTGTTGTGTTTTGGAATTAGAACAGAATGTAAGGAATCCAGTTTCCAGAATTTAGTTATTTTTACTTTATTAGTGTTGAAGAACAGAAGCTGCGGGTCCTGATAATATCCCTGGGCGTGTATTTAAGGAGTGTGCTGACCAACTGGCCACTGTTCTCACAGACATCTTCAATCTCTTGTTGCATCAGGCCGTGGTTCCATCATGTTTTAAGACTGCAATCATTGTACCAGTGCCCCCAAAAGTTATAATCCCTTGCCTTAATGATTACCATCCAGTTGCACTCACTTCTATTATGATGAAGTGTTTTGAGAGATTGGTAAAGGACTATATGGTTTCATGCCTTCCCCCTACATTTGACTTGTTACAGTTTGCCTATTGGAAGAATCGCTCTGTAGAAGATGCATTTTCCTGTGTGCTTCATCTTAGCTTGGCGCACCTGGAGGGGAAGAATACTCATGTGCGAATGCTGTTTGTTGATTTTAGTTCGGCATTCAACACAATCATTCCTCAGCATTCCCCAGTGAACAAACTGGGCCTATTAAGTTTTAATACTCCTTTATGTAATTGGATACTTGGTTTCCTTATTGATAGGCCCCAGTTTGTGTGAGTTGGAAAGAAAATTTTCAACTCCATCTCCTTGAGTATGGGTTCCCCACAGGGCTGTGTCCTGAGTCCGCTACTGTTCACCTTGATGACCCCTGGCTGCTGTGCCAAATCTGCTACGAATCATATTGTAAAGTATGCAGACGACACGGCTGTGGTGGGTCTTATCTGGGATAACAGTGAAGATGCTTATAGGGAAAAGGTGAAGGCTCTGGTGGACTGGTGCAATAAAAGTAACCTGGTTCTAAATGTTGATAAAACAAAGGAGATCATTGTAGATTTTAGAAAGAGCTGGCATAGTCATACTCCACTCAGTATCAAGGATGCAGCTGTAGAGGTGGTCAACAGTATTAGGTATCTGGGGGTGCAGATAACTAACAATCTTCACACTGGTCATCCTTAGTGAAGCGTGCAAACCAGCATCTGGTTTCCTGTGTCGGATGAGGAGAGCACATCTCTCTTCTTCTGTCCTGGCCACTTTTTACAGAGGCACAATTGAGAGTATTTTAACAAATGGCATCACTGTCTGGTTCAGTGGCAGCAGCGCCTCAGATAGAAAGTCCATACAGAGATTGGTAAGGACAGCCGAGAAGATCATAGGAAGCTCACTTCCTGGTATTCAGGATGCTTCTTGTAAGCACTATGAGCTTAGAGCTCAAAGCATTGTTAGAGACCCCACACACCCACTTTATGGTCTGTTTCTGTTGCTCCCCTCTGGGAGGAGGTTTTGAAGTATTTCTAGCAGGACTACCCGATTCGCTAATAGCTTTGTTCCCTATACCATCCGTCTGGTAAACTCACAAGATTTGTTTTTCTCGCCATGCACAAGTATACATAATCCGAACTAGACTGTGTTGTTTCTCTGTGTCATATAATATATGTAGGTATATATGCATAATTCTGTATTTATTTATTTAATTTTGTCATATTTATGTAGTGTATATTGGAGGTGGTGACCCTTTGAGAGCTGTATGCAACGAAATTTCATTTTAATGTATGTCAATTAGTGTATATTCAAAGTGACAATAAAGTTATTATTCTTATTCTTATTTATTCTTATTGCTGTTTTTGTAGATTTTATTATATGACTGACATTGGTTTCTTAGATAAGCAAACTCCCTGTCTCCATAGTATGTGTCTTAATTAAAATAATATTAATTTCTGTAATAAATAAAATAGGAAAATTATTTTCAATGCCTTTTATTCCTGGACATACTAACACTAGTTTTAGGAAACACATCAATAGTACTGAATTTTCTTATGTCAGCTATAATAATAGTCATGTCTGTTGCTTCCTGATATGGAAAAGAAATCTTTTTTAAAGATATTCATAACTGTTTAGGAAGCTTATCTTTATTCTCTGTAGGTTATCCTATACTTGTTAAAATACCCATTCTTGAATTATTGGTTTGTAATCTAAAATGAAGATTTTATTGGTTACCCCATGCATTTATGTCTGTATGTGTGTGTGAGAGAAAGATAGATAGATAGATAGATAGATAGATAGATAGATAGATAGATAGATAGATAGATAGATAGATAGATAGATAGATAGATAGATAGATAGATAGATAACTTTTCCTGAGATATGGTACAAAATAGAAATTACTGGAACCATATTATGAACTAATCAGGTAAGGTTTCATTTGGTACACAAAAATGACACTGAAATAACTTTTGCAATATAAACAACTTTGAAAGGTGTAGCACATTAAATATAGTTATTATGGCATAAAGTTTCTTGAACTACAGTTCAGTTCAACAGGTGCATCACTTTCCAGAACATGAGAGAAAGAGAGAGAGAGATTACTTATAAGCAATGACTTAAGAATAAAATGTAAATTTTATGTAACGTAGAATGTAAATTTAACATGCTATTAGTATGTTCAAACCTTTGTGTATATAAAATGATTAGTGACTTATAATCAGATGTCTATGGAGATTCTCAGTCATCCAGATCATGGTTGTCCCAAAGGTGCTTTTTCAAGAGGCAACTGGACTTCCTTGTTTTTCTTTGAAGATGTTTTGCTTCTCATCCATGAAGCTTCTTCAGCTCTTTGAGAAGCGAAAGTCTTCAAAGAAAAACAAGAAAGTCCAGCTGCCTCTTGAAAAAGCACCTTTGGGGGTTGGTTCCCAGACTGATAGAGAGTCATTAGCTGCAAATGTCCATCAGAAGGCTGTAAAAAGTTAAGTCAGAAAGTCTCCATTCTAATGTACATGGGGTATTAGTGCTACATTGAAAGAATTAAGATGTGGAAATTACTATAACCTCATTCTATCTATCTCAATGAATATTTCTAAAGAGAATTGTGTCAGATGCATGCTTATAGAAGAATCAGTTTCATTTTAGAGAGAGCTAAACAGTTTGATGATCTAGTGTTAATAATAATTTGTTAGATAAACAATACCTACAGTGGGATAAAATAATTGTGGTTCAGGCTATAGGTAAAAGAACTAAAGTTCTTGGTAAGTTGAAATCCGGTATTAGAGTATGCCTAATAAATTCTCATATTAGAGTATGCCTAATAAAGTGCTTTTATTCATCAGTGGCCACTTTAAAGTAATAGTTAATACATATGCATTATTGGCAAATGAACAAATGAAAGTAGCAATGTTGTGTTTGATTTTCTTAGATCTTGCAATAGGACAAAATCTGTTTCTGAATTTATTTATTTATTTTTATTTTACAAAATTTATATGCCGCCCTTCTCCCCATGGGACTCAGGGCGGCTCACAGCATGTTAAAACAATATACAGAATTACCCCTTCTAAAAACCAATTAAAACCCAAATATTAGTGGCTGTGACTATTTAAAATCATTAAAAATTATCCCTATTTAAAATTCACCCTAGGTCAGTCCCGNGAAAAAGCCATGTCTTGAGGGCGCGGCGGAAGGTTAGGAGATCCGGAATCGTCCGGATCTCGGGGGGTAGTTCGTTCCAGAGGGTGGGGGCACCCACAGAGAAGGCCCTCCCCCTGGGGGTCGCCAGCCGACATTGCTTGGCCGACGGCACCCTGAGGAGGCCCGCTCTGTGGGAGCGTACCGGTCTGTGGGAGGGAATTTACTCTGGAGTCTATATACAGCATGTTGCAATGAGCAACTTCTTAGATTTGAGGCTACTTATGAAGACCAACCCACCACTTTATAAAAGTATGAGAGAGAAATATTGTCATTAACAAAGTTTCCTGGCATAGAGAAGGCCAGCCAGGTGCCGCTACCCATTGTGACCGAATGCTTCAACTAGGAGCAGTAAATAACCATGGATTCTCTTTTAAGTCTATCCTGTAATATGCTACTTTTGTTAATTTATTTTTTAATTCATCGGATAGATGTTGTAATCTAAAAAATACAAATTGGAGCAGAGGCTCAAGCATAGATAAGGAAAAGATAACTTTTTTCAGCCAGTGGGTCAGATTCATTTTTATATCCCTTTCAAGGATACATGACATTGTAGCCCAGGTAAAAACCCACAAAAATGATACAGTAGTCTGGCCAAGGAGTAAACTCAGCCTGTTCACTTCACTGTAATTCCATTGTATTCCACTTCATTCCACTGTAAGGTCACTATTTTCTTTAGACTTATGTTTCACAGTCTACCTTTCATTGATACTTTCTTAGAATTGTTTGAAAAATAAAAAAGATTCTATTTCATTATTAGGATCTTTAGACTAAAAATACTGATACTGAATTTGTAATCTTGATGTAATCTTTCTTTCTGATCACTTTGAAACCAAATTTGAACAATTATTTTTATGAAGGGCATTTCCTTCTTGCGGTACATTGTGTGTTGTATTTGCTACATGTACCAGGTACATTTATGTATAAGTGATTTTACAGTAAACTTGATAGTTGTGTCTGTAAAACATTTGGTATGGGAGTAAACAACTAAATTTTGATTCTAGCTTTCATTAGAGGTCTTAATGATTGCTTTAAAAAAATCACAATTTCTCAACTTGAATGGCACAACTGTAGTATTTAAATTACTGAATGCTGGTTGTATAAAGTAAGCATTTGCAGCCATTTATTTGTTCCTTTGTTTATGGCAGGTTAAACGAAATGTGTACGACCTGACTAGTATCCCTGTTCGTCATCAATATTGGGAAGGCTGGCCTGCTTCTGCTACAGATGACTCAGTAAGTCATAATTATTCAGCATTATCGTAAATACTGTAGTGTTTTTTTCTAATCCATATTGTGGTTTTCTATTGGAAATACTTGTTACATTTCAAAAATATTTCTATGCAAATACATTTTGTAATTTAATATGATGTTTTTGTGTCAAGCTTGATTCCAATTGATTTCATACCTATGCACTTTTATTGGTAAGAATATTAAAACAGTTTGCCATTATCTTCTTCCAGATCTTTTCTTTTTTGTGGCATTTCCTGGTGGTCTTTTATCCAATTACTAAATATCCTGCTCTGTTTAGCTTTTCATGATAAACCAAGAATGGCCAGATACTCTAATTTATCTGACTAATAGTACATTAAAGCAACTGAACTATTAATTTAGGGCTTCTAAATTAGAAAAAAATTCTTAATACAGATTTTCACAGTAAAAACAACAGTTAATATGCTTTGTGATATGATTACAAGTCCTTGAAGACATGGTTTTGTCAGTGGGTTTGGAGATCCCATTCAGAGCTGATCAAGTGGCTTGCCTGATTCTGTTGCCACTGCCACAGGGTGAGGAGGGTTGAAATTGAGTGGGGTTTAAATTGTGCATTTTTAACAGATGGATTTAATGTTGTACATCTCCCAGAGTCACTGTGTATGTTGCTGAATGAATGACTGAATGACTGAATGAATGACTATAATTTGGTAAACTGTTTTTTCAATTACTTTTGACAACACTAGATCAGTGAATCATACAGTATTTTCTACCGTGATGTTCCTGCAAGAAAAATATCACAAGGAGTTAGTCTTGTATATATATCTGTTGGGGAATATGTTTGATGAAATGGGAGGCTATTTTTTTTTTAAAAAAAAACCTCAGATGTCATTTTATACATTTTTGTTACATTTATGTAGGTTACAAGAACACTTGTAATAAAAGTTCATAGGAAGGAAGAGAAAGTATTTCTTGTTCTTTTGTAGAAAGAGACAGTTAGAACATAGAACATAGATTAACAAGGTTGGAAGGGACCCCGGAGGTCTTCTAATCCCTGCTCAAGCAGGAGACCCTGCTATTGGACAAACGGCTGTTCAATCTCTTCTTGAAAACCTCCAATGCTGGAGCACCCACAGTTTCTGGAGGAAAGCCTGATTAATTGTTCTCATTGTGAGGAAATTTCTCCTTAGTTCTAGGTTGGATCTCTCTTTAACGATTTTTCACCCATTACTTCTTCTCTTACCCTCATGTGCTTTGGAGAACAGGTCAACCCTCTCTTCTCTGTGACAGCCCCTCAAATATTGGAAGACTGCTATCATGCCACCCCCTAGTCCTTCTCTTTGTTAGACTAGTTCTCCCAACTGTTCGTTGTACGGTTTAGCCTCCAGATCCCGTATCATCTTTGTTGTTCTTCTCTGTACTCATTCTAGGGGGTCTCAGCATCTTTTTTGCATCATGGGTGGCCTATGGCAATGTCATTCTTTTTCCTTTTATATTAACTCACATGCATTCAACAAAGCTTTCAGCCTTGTTTTTGTGCATTTCTGTAGAGATGTAGCGATTTCTTACATATAATGCAACTCCACCTCCTCTTTTGAAAGGTTTTTTTTTTGTTAACAGTATCCTTCTAGCAGTACATTCCAATCATAAGTTTCATCCACTAAATTTCAGTAATGGTAACAATATTGTACCTGCCCTCTGTACCAAAGACAAATAGTTTGCCCTATTTGTTCCTATTGTTACCTATTGAAATACATGCATATTGTTATAAATTGAAACTTGTTTTTTAATATGTAAGACACGTCACCTAAAACAGATACTTCTGGCTGTAGTAGAGACTTTATAGTCATTCCACATTATCTGCTATTTCATGTGTAGCATGTTATAAAATAGTTGTCACACTTTTTAAGTTCACTTACATTCTCAAGGGCAAAGAAAGGCTGTCACTGCTGTACATTTGGCACAAGAGTGCCACGCTGGTATTTTCAAGGAAAGTAGCTAGTCCTTGTATTGGATGTAGAACTGAAGCTTTTGATAAAAACAAACATAGACAAGGTTAATTGCAACCTCTGAAATATATTGGTGTATTGTCATCTGTTGCTAGTTGAGTTTAGGCCAGAAAGGATTTGAAAACCCATGATTTCTAATCCAAATACCAGCAGCTGTTGGGAAAGTAGCCAACTAAACAAAAAGGAAAAGCTTTTCTGTATGATAGGATGTCCAGCTTGAATAAAACACACAAATCTATTTTAAACTCTGTTTTAACAAGTGACAATGTTGCAGGTGATTTTCTTTTTCCTTTTCAAGTTTAATGAAATTGGTGATTGTTAAGTCATCTGCTTTTCAAGCAAATGAGTCTAGAAAGCTCTCAGCTTGAAACTACTGCAGCTGAGCCCCGTCAGCTGTGTAAACATTTCTGAATGTGTTACTCCCAAAAATATAATTAATTTTTATCTGAAATTAGAACCTTCAACTTAATATTTATGAAGATTTAATGTTAGTAATAACAGTCTGAAAAATTGCCCCTCCTTTGCTATTTATAAAGTCTGTTTCTAAGTGTTAACTGTTAGTTTCCTCCTTTTTAAAATCCCAGGCTTTTGGAAATAACTTAATTTTAATAAATATCTCAATGATGGCTCTTCAAGAATATTAATCATAACTTCTAACAATGAAAGAGTTAAAGATAGACTTGATTAGAATACTTTTAATTTACATTTCATACAGCATAAAAATACTTTGTTATACCACAGGAGGTTTTTTCAGTGCAGTTCTCGTTAACCTTTGCCTTAGCAAACAGGCAACTAAATAAACTTCTAATAATTAGATTCTGTGTAATTGAGCCTCCTATGGACCTAATAAGCTTCATTCTTTTGCATTAAATGCAGAAATGCATCAAAGTCAAGAGACTTTTTAAAAGCACTACTGCTCCTCTTTGTGATTTTTAGTCTAATAAAATATAGGGTACAATCTGAAAAATCAATAATGACTTCAAAAAAAAAATTTTTTTTTACACACTTGCACAAAGAAAATCAGTTGATAAAAGTGAGCCAGTAGGGAAATATTTTCATGCTGTGTAAGTTTGATGGGAGAAACAAGGAGCTAGCAAAATTTTTAAAAATGCCATTTTACACTTTAAGAATGGCTTTTTAGTTTCTATAGAATGTAAACATTGGTAGCATTGGGAGTGTATAATTGCTTCATTTCATTATAACATAAGCACAGTTCCTGATTTCCGCTTACTGGTTCAATTTTCAGATGTGGTATTTTGAAAAAAAATATTTGATGCTAGAAACTTTACCTGCATGATTAATGGATCTGCTATGTGCTATTGTCTGATGTTGTCATCACATATTTAGCATTTTCCCCCCTAAACCATTATCTTATGGAACATATTTTATAATGATGAGACTTAAAATAGCAACACATTTTGAAAATTATTAATACTTTATGGAATAGTTACAAGGAACAATTTATTGTTTTAAACAGTTAGAAAAACACATATTCCAAAAGGATGTTTTCTTCTGCTCTTTTTCTCAGTTATATTTCTCAGTTGTGTTCTTTTCTAAATGAAAGAAATTCTTTGGCTGCACATTTTTACAGTCTGTTAACAAAGTAGTACATAGTATTTCCTTGTGCTCAATCAAGTGGCATTTATGACATTTAGCATGATCGAGTAATAGTTTACTTTTTGTAGACTAATAATGTTAATGTTTAGATTGAATAGGTAGGCCTTGGTTTAAAGTCCTTTTTAGCCTATTCCAACAGGTAAGGAATAGACTCTTTTGCCGTATTGGCATTACTTAGAAGTACATATATAAAACAATTTAGTTCCAATTTCAATTCCACATCAGTAACAGCAGAGTCACAGAGAGAAGGAAGGGAGAAGAGTTATTTTGTTTGTTTGTTTGTTTATATCTTGCCTTTATTATTTTTACAAAAAGCTCAAGGCGATGAACAAATCTAACATACTTCCCCCACTCATTTTCCCCACAACATCAACCCTGTGAGGTGGTTGGACTGAGAGAGAATGACAGGCCCAAAGTCACCCAGCTGGTTTTCATGACTAAGGTAGGGTGATCAAGGCCCTTTTTGCTGAACTTTCTAGCAGATTATGGCAATATTCAAACAGCTGGAAAGTTATATTTAGAATTGCCCAGTAGTTCCACCATCCTCATCACTTGCCTTCTTCTCCTTGGAATTTCTTTAGGAGTTAAAATTGTAATTTTTTTTCCTCCTGTCCCTGTTCCTTCTCCACCTCCAAGAAGTGAAGCAGAAAACAGAGAATAGATGGTGTTGCTAAGTACTATCTACCATTAGAATTTATTTACAGGATATTATGGGAAGCCAAGTAAAGTTAGCAAAGATTTCAGGATGACAGTCCTTATAGTTTTAAACAAAAACCTGATCATTGTTTCAGGTTTTCACTTGACAGTTCAGCAGAAATATTATAGGGTATGATTCTATTTTATAACACTTGCTTTAAATGCATTATAAATGTTATATTGAATGGAATAGGGGAAATGTTCTGATTTACTGTATGTGCTCAATGTTTAGAACAGGAGTATCATGCTTTGGCTTATAGAAATCATGCAGCATCATGTGCACCAGCAGAAAAAAACATTTTCACATCACTAAATGACTGAAAATTGCTCCACCACAGTTGTTAAATTAATCAGTGTACACTATTCCAGACCTAGGAATCCAGTTAAATGCTTTGTTTAGAGGTTTTGAACGTTCAAAGTTAATCAAACATGAAATTATTAAGTGGAAAGTTAGTATAAATCTAGAAGCAAATATAAAATTGATCACATTGGATTTCATAGAAAAAACTCTCTTTGGGGATAAAAAAAATAGAAGATAATCCAAATGGTAGCAATTTGTATGTGCAGCCAACGAATCCATGTTATTTTTCTTGGAGAACACATTGTGTGAAATAGAATGTGTTTCTATTGATTATTTAAAAAAAAGACTAATGTCTAAGCAACCTGTGTCTTTGGAATTAAAAAAATAGAATTCCAATACTT